TTAAGCAAACTCCGAGGCAATGCCTATTCTGCAGGTCCCAGAGCTGGAGGAGGGAGAAGGTCGGAGACTCTGTTGGTGGGAGCTCTGTCTGGGACGGCCTTCTGGCTTTCAGGCAGGGCGGACTGACCACAGACGGTCCTCTTCCTTCAACAAATTCCCAAATGAAAAAGCTCCTTTTCTGCCTTCTAGGCACTTACCTCACACCCAGACCTTCTTGTTCACACAAATACCCACAGGCTTCACGATTTCTCACAAGCTCTGGATTTTTCTTTCCGCCAAAGGTCCCCCGGTCACGTCCCTGGACACACTGCTGTCCACAACTTGGTCAGAGTGTCGCAGTGGGTCCCAGCCTCGGGGTCCTACCCTGTGGTTTCTGATTCTACTGCCTGTGCTGTTTGTTTCAAACACGCCCCCAGGTGTGTTTCGAAGTGCACCAGGTTTGGAACCCTCTGCTTTTGGCTAGAAAGCTCCAACCCCTGCCACCTCATGCCCGCAGCCCATGGGCAAGCATCTCCCCTCACGTGGGAAAGAAGGCGGCCATCCCGCTCGCTGAACAGCTGACCCGGTCCCAGAGCCTCCCAGGCAGGGCACGCACGTGGGTGACGCGAGCGTTCCTCTGAGTTAAGCTGGTACTTTCAGTCTTCTGGGAGGTCGTGAGTGACAACACAGAGGTCCTGATCATGACGAGTCAGCAAAGAACATGCCTGTAAGGAACAGGAAGGTGGCTGCCAGCAGGGACGTTGCTAACCGTCCCGTGTGACTCCTGTCCCAGTTCATTCTTGGCGGTTCAGTGGCTTGTCGCAAAACCACCCAGGGGTGCCTGGGTGGCTCCGTGGGTTAAGCCTCTGCTTTTGGCTCAGGTCATGATCTCAGGGTCCTGGGATCGAGCCCCGCATCGGGCTTTCTGCTCAGCGGGGAGCCTGCTTCCCCCTCTCTCTCTGCCTGCTTCTCTGCCTGCTTTTGATCTCTGTCTGTCAAATAAATAAATAAAATCTTAAAAAAAAAAAAAAACACCCAGAAGTGAATCTTGCCAACCACAGAAATAAGCAAGTTCACACACAGTGGCCCCCAGATAAATCCTTTTAAAATCGACCTAAACGGGAGTCCAGTTCACTGTTGGGACAGAGCTGGGCCTGAAAACAAGCCGCAAACCTGTTCCAAGACAGGAAGTCATCTCAAAACCCCACAACTGCCGGAATTCCATGAGACTCTGCACCCTGGAGGGGCAGAAAGGAACTTGAGGAGGAAGAGGCAGGGTCTGCTTTTGTTCCAAAGTGGGACTTGTGCTGGGTAAGCGCGGGAGCCCTGAGGGGAGCTGGTGCTGGGAGAGGGCGGCATGACCACCTGCCAGTGGGGCCCTCGCAGAGGCCACAAGCTGCTGAGAAGGTCTCCCAGTTCAACCGTTTCAGGAAACTATGTGCAAAGCTGGCAAGACTCATTCCAGAAGGCCACCGTGGGGCGGTCGGGGACACTCTTCAAAGCTGGAGAGCCGTCGCAAAGAGCCATTGGGTCTTGAAGACCCCAAGGCCATATTCCCTGGGGGAAGAAGGCAGCTCGAGGGGCCCCGGGGCTGCTGAGGGAAACACAGAGGAGAGGGGACATGGCAGAGCCCACAGTCCTTTGCAAGCCACCTTTCTCACTGCTTCTCTGGCAGAGGTCAGCCTCGCAGATAGTTGTACCGTGACTGTCTTACCATTATGCCAAGGATGGCATGAAACTAGGACCTAGATTCATCAGAGCAAAGTTGATTCCCCATGAGCCTGACAGAGAGGGCTGCGGGCTTCCAGGTTCTGGGCTGGAGGGGAGATCCCTGCAAAAGGCACTAGGAAAGGGGCATCCCGGCCCCTGCCTTGGTGCTAGGACCAAAGTCACCGCAGCTGCAGAGGCTGGAAAGGGGAAAAGAAGCACGAGGACGGGGGGCGGGTGTGCAGCCGAGTTAAAGTCACAAGAAAGAACGTTGGCCGTCAAAGAGGAAGCAGTGGGCGTTGGGCAAAAACTCTAGTTTTCTGTTTATTGAACTGTGAGCACATCTGCCCATATGGCTGGCGTGCATGCGTGTGTACATGTGCACGCACACACACGCATACACACATGCACACACAGTTCCAGCACTTATGCCAAACTGGCCAGAGGTCAACAGAGCGACCCCAGACCCTACAGCCTGCCTTCCCTCGTGTCCTCCGGAAAACAGACTGGAACTGTCTGGCTCCTGCAGGCTCCGTGTCCCGGAAATCCCACCGCGCTCCCTCATCCAAGGGGCTACTATTACACGGCCAGCCCGCAAGGCTTCCCACTCTCAAGGAACCGCCTAATGAAAGCCTCATGTGTCAACTTCGTGTGCACAGACATGCCTGGGCTCTTCCAGATGACCTCACCGTCGGGCAAACCGGCAAGGACCCCAGAAAGAGCAGGTCGGTGTGTGGGCCAGACCTGCTCCTAATCACACACAGCAGGGGGAGCAGAGGCCCTGCCCCCCCCGCCCCCGCCCTCCAGACACCAGGCTCTGGGGGCCCGGAGGCTCCATCAGCCCACAGCTAAGAATCCAAGCTCCAGACCAAACACCCCATTTCTTGGCAGTATCCCCACCAAAATTTCTGCCATTCCACACGTTTCACACCAAAGAACGATTCATTCAGTATGGCTGGATGTGTGCGGAGAACCCCCAGTTACAGAAGCTAGAAAGGAAGGATATAATTAGGACCTTTTTTTTTTTTTAAGAAGCTCAAAAAGCCCATTAAGCAAAAGACACAGAGACACGGTCCGTCCACATCCGAGCGCAGAGTCCTGAAAATCCCACTTAGTAGCTCCAGTCACGGAACTCTTAAAGACACACATTTCAGCCTCAGAATGGGCATCTGTCCCTGAGCTCTTGTCGCTCTAGGGCGATCAGTAAACCAGCAGCGCAATTCTTCCGACGTACATCACAGCTCTGTGTTCATGTGCTCCATATTAAACCTTTTGTAGGACTCAAGAACACATTTTAAAAATTATAATAAATCAGTCTTTTGTAGGCAACAACAACCAAAAAACCCAGAAGAAGCTACATTTCAAAAGGAATGTGCTTTTACCTGATGGCATCACTGTCACTGTAAAGCAGCTGATGACCTCAGCTTTTTTTTTTTTTTTTTTAAGCTGAGCTTTTGTTAAGGGAATGAATAGAAGTCCCCTACAAGAGAATTGCTGAGTCCTTTTAAGGTCTGGTATGTTCTGCCTTTGGCTTGGGTAGTGAGGATGGCAGGTTGTAAATCAATGGGTAGAACTTTGGAAGCTCTTGAACAAAACCCCCTCCCCCATGGAGCTCTGCTCGGGTCCTGATGGGTCCCGTGCACATCGGGGACACACGAGATGCCCCTGGGCCTCCGAGACCTCATGGACTCAGGGGGATTTGCAACACGTAAAAACTCCCTGCGAGCTGAGCTCCACTGAGGGAATCCACAGAGACACACCATGGACTTGGAGGGAGACACTTCAATTTCAGAGGAGTCACACCCGCAGCTGGGCGGGCCCCTTTCTATTAAAGGTTGCTAACTCCATTCGACAAGGTTTTCTTACTGGAGTTGTGGGCAGAGAACCAAAAGCACAGAGTCCTCGTTCCATAAACGGGAGTTTAGATTACGACTTCTATTATTTTAAGGAGGAAACTTTTTCTGGAAATGTATCTCCAAAATGATGATGGGGGTCTGCGGAGAACAGATTTGCTCTCTGATGTGTGCTCCGCCGCAGCTTTTCGGAACTATCTAAAAGCAAGCCGCTAAACGTGAAGCAAGGTCACATCAGGCCTGCAGAGACACAGTGAGTCACAGTCACTCCGAGTTGTAAGGACAGGCCGGGACTGCTCGTGACACTGAACACCCCTGATGAAACACACCTTTCCCGGACCAGAAAATTAACGTCCACGGCTGCACTTGGAGGCTAGCATGGGACAGCACGCACCACGTGGTCACCCTGATTAGCATCCTTCCAGCAACTCCGGCAAGACAACACCAGAGAGCTGGCTCCTCTAGTCAGCCGCCCGGCCAAGCAAACATCTCCCAACCACAGTCTTTCTGTCCAAGGGACTTCCTGACCCCATACTCTGCGTCCTGCTTTTTCCTTGTGTAATCTGTGCTCTACCTGAGAGACCCAGTGCCCACGACTCTGGACCTCTTAGGCCTGGGATCAAGCTGCTTTTCAGAGCAGGAGAGAGTGTGTTAGAAAAACAAAAAACAACAACAAAGTAAGAAAGCTTTTTCTTGGACCTCCAGCCAAGGTCAAATCTAAATGTCGGGAAGGTCACAACTGGTTTGGGACAGGCTTGGTGTTTTGCAACAGGGAAGAACCTTAAAGATATCCTGGGTCCCTTTTTAGAGCTTTTAAAATACAGCGAAACCTTTTTCCCCAGTGAAGTTGTATATAGAAACCCAGCAAGTAAAACGGAGAGAAAATAAGCTGTTTTTACATGCACACAATGGCATATGATTTGGCCCTAAAAAAATGACGTACAAATAAATACATGCTATAAAATGGATAAACTTGCAAACATTATCTTAAGTCCAAGCAGCCCGTCACAAAGGACTCCTGTCGCAGGATTCCGTTTATATGGCATGTCCAGAGAGGAGACAGAAAGTAGATTCGTGGTTGCCTAGGGCTGGGGAAAACGGGGATGAGAGGTGGCAGCTAAGAGGCAGAGTTTCTTTTTGGGGTGGTGACACTGTTCTATAATTGATTAGGGCGTTGGTTTCCCAAATCAAGTGAAGACGCTAAAAGCCACTGAGTCACCCCGAGTCAACAGGGGAGTGTCACATCACGTGCATTCCATCCCCAGGCAGCTGTGTGCGAGAGGGGGAGGGGAGCTGGAAGGATCCCTGGTGGCCTTCACCGGCCAGGCCGCCTCCACTGTAAACCAAGACATGAACCCAAGCCTGTTGACCGCAAGGGCAAGGCCCTTTAACGCCAAGGCCCCGCTGAGGAGCCGGGGCTCATCTAGGGGACACGCCGCACTCCCGCGCTCCCGGGCTCACCGTCCATGTCCAGGCGCTGCATGATGATGGCCAGCTCCACCTCGCTTGGCATGTACCCCAGTGAGCGCATGGCCATGCCCAGCTCCTGCTTGGAGATGAAGCCGTTCCCATCGCGGTCCAGAACCCGAAAGGCCTCTCGGATCTCTGCAAAGAGAAAGCAAAGAAAGTCGGACGGTCACACGGCATGGTCCACTGCCCTGAAGTCATTGGCGGTCCTCTACCAACGCGCCCAATGCTTCCTTACAGACACAAGTACGGCAGAGCCCTTTAATCGGACAGAAGAGCGGCCAAAGAGGGACCAAGGAAAGAAAGGGGAGAAGGGGGAAGGGAAGGGAAGGGGAGGGAAGGGAAGGGGAGGGAAGGGAAGGGAAGGAAGAGGAGGGGAAAGTAGAAAAGTAAACCAGCCCTGGGCATCCCTAAAGCACCACAATTTGACGGCGGTCACGGTGGAGACCCGTGCTCGCTGAGGACCCTTCCTGGGCAGGAGTGAGCACGTTAGGTTTCGGCTGTGAGGACAGGGCTGCTCCGTAACCTGGGCGCTTCGTTTACAGGAAAGGAGGATGAGATTCCCCTCCGCAACCCCGTAGGAGGACGGGAGTTATGAGCTTGCTGCTTTTATTTTGTCCTCTAATTTACAGCAATTTCATGGCTATAAACAACCTCAGATCGATCAAGCGTCATAAAAGTCCAAAAGGCCTCTTTAATCACATTTTCTCCCGCTGGCAGAGGACTCCGCTATCAATAAGGCCATTCCCACTCGGCAGGTGATCGCCCTCCTCTGACCCCAACCCAAGCTGTCCTGCCTTCCGCCAGGACCCCTCCCCCCAAGCCCCCCCCCCCCCCCCCCCCCCCCCCACCCCGGCCTGCTGGTTCTGGGTTGGCTGAGCGTTTCCGAACCCATCACACGAGGCATGGCGTGGGGAATTCGAGGTCAGAGTCTGAAGGTGACAGGTGTCTGAGCACTGGACCCAGCTTGCTCTAACTTCATTGGTGAACCTGGTGTGGGCAGGTATGGCCGCCGCAAACATTCGTCCCATGTTCAACAAGGATCGGCGTCCGCACCTGAGGCACACGAAGCGAGTATCCCAGAGAATCAACCAGCCTTCTGGTCTTCCCCTACAGCCCAGTGGGGCAGGAGAGACCCACGCAGAAATGGACAGGCTCTCCTGAAACCAACCCAAGACTCGGGCCCTCACCCATTTCCCTGCTGCTTCTCGAAATAGCCCCCAATACTCCCAGTTAACACCTGGAAACAAGCTTTGGTCCCTTCCCATTTGCACGAATTTCCTGGGATCGCTGTCACAAATCCCTACAAATGTTGTGGCTCACACAGCAGAAATTCCTCTCGCGATCTGGAAGCAGAAGTACGAAATCAGGACCACGAGCACAGTGGGGACAGGGCTGTGCTCTCCTAAGGCAAGAACCTGTCCCTTGCCTCTTCCAGCTTTGGGTGGCAGCTGGCACGCCTTGGCGCATGGCCAGGTCACCCCAGTCTCTGCCTTTGTGGCCACGTCTCCTTTTTCTCCTCTGCCTGTGACCCTCCTCTGCCCTCCACTTCTGAGGACACTTGTGGTGGAACTTAGGACCGACCCAGATAACCCAGAATAAGCTCCCTCAACCTAACATCTGCAAAAGCCTTTTTTTTCCCCCAAGGAAATACTTGCAGGTTCCAAGGTTGAGGACCTGATACCTCTAGGGCCCGATCTTCAGACGGCCGCACTATCCCATCCAGGATTGCCCCTGAAATACCCTGCCTTCCTCTTTAGGGGCCCAAATCCTGTCGGACCTTCAAGGCTGAGTCAGGGACCATAGGTTCTACAGGAATGTCTTTGCCCACTAGGGCCAACATTCTCTCCCTTTCTGCTCCTGTCATTCCTTTCTCATGACACCAGCCCATCTTGTCTGAAGTTTCAATGTTGGTGCAGACGTCACGGCTTCTCTTCGTCCGCTGCCTTCTTCTTCGTAGGAGGAGACGCAGACAGCTGTTGAACGGGTCACGTCCTCCGTAAGCAAGGACGGTGCATCAGCAGCAAATCCACCATCGACACCGATTCTGCACGCGGGGCGCTTTCTGAGAACCGGTGTGGGCTCCGCCAGCAGAAGACCAGCCTGTGAGCCGCGACCCTAGGCTCCCGGCCAGGCACATTAGCTCATTAGGGCCGCGGCCAAACCCTGAGGCCTCGGATTGTTCATGTGTAAAATGAGCTGGGTTGGCGCGAGGATCCCTAAGGTCCTTCCAGACATTTTCTGGGGATCTACGGACATTGTTAGCGTGTTTAAGAGAAGAACAGGAAGCCTGTGTTCTCCTTCATACCCTATTAATCTACTGTGCAAACACCCCTCTTTTTTCCGTTGAGGATAAAGGAAAAATTTCAGTCTGGTCCTAATTCTGATTCAAGGGGGCTGTCTGTACTTTTAGGCTTTTCTCACCAATGAAACGTGCCCAAGACTCCCTCGGGCAGCCATATGTTTTCCTACCAAGTCCCAGGTGGCCCGGAAAGAGCTCAGAGCCACTGCCCAGCATGAGGTCACAGCACACAACACACAAGGACAGCGGGGCAGAGACCACGGCCTCACCTGGCCTGAGCCCAGGGGCCCACGGCAGGGGGGTGCAGAAGCAGGGTCTCGCGGGGGGGGGGGGGGTGTCAGCCCACAGGGAGGTCAGTCTGGCCCCGCCCAGCAATCAGAGCAGGCTTCTCCCTGAGCCTCCGCTGCCCCATCTGAAAATGGGTAGGGTTGGATCTCCTTCTAGCCTCTCTAAAACGGCTCTACTTCAGAGCTGGCAGCGGTAAAAAATTTCAGATAACAACAGGGGCCCAGCCTGGAGTCAAAGAGGAGGCCAGGGTCCTAGCCGGCCACCTGGACGGCCGGCTGCACACTGAGCTCGGGCCCATTGTCCTCCTTTCCCAAGGCGCATCTCCACTCGCCATCCCTCCAACTCAGTCCTGAGCTCCCTGGCTGTTATGATCGCTCCAACAGGGCGACCCCCTTCTGCTGACAGGGTGACAGTGTCTGGCCTCCTTCCTGTGGTCCCCTTGCATGTGCCCTAGATCTCACAAATGAGTGAACCTATATCCTTACACTGGACACCCCGGAAAGGCCCCATCAAGGATGTGTGTGAACTTGGCCTGGAAATAAAGGCCTTGATAGGTTTGCCTCCTGCCCCCCTCTCACTGCTCCGCTACTTGTAGTCACCTCACCCTGGGGCTGCTGGAGTCGGACAGAGGCCACCCCAGAACCACTACAGGAAGTAGGCAGGCCAGCCCTGCTCCGGCCCTGCTCCAGCCCAGCCCAGCCCAGTGCAAACCAGCTCAGAGTTCTGTTTTCTGTGCAGCCCCCCGACCCCAGGTAAGTCAGACAAAGCTGCACTTCTCTGTCTACCCAGAATTTCTGCTCCTGGCTCCCAGGTAGAGAGTGTGGTGTGTGTGTGTGTGTGTGTGTGTGTGTGTGTGCGCGCGCGCGTGCGCATGCTAGAGGCAGAAAAATCTCCCTAACTTCATTTTCTTTCAAAATAACGAGGGGGGGGGTGTTGAAACTAGAAATCCATAATGCAGGCCTCTAGAGATTAAATCTTTCCAAGGCAGGGAAAGCCCAGGCAAACGAGAAGCTTATTAGAAGGAAATGGGTCTTGCAGCCGGAGACATGTGATGTGTGCCTCGTTTTATTTTATTTTTAATAGCAGAACAGGGTGTGAGAAATACGCTCATAAAACCGGCAGAGAGAGGGAAGCAGGCCGGATCCCCTGGCCTATGGCTACAGGCAGCCTGCCGGCAACATGGAGGGGCCCTGGCCACGCTCCACATCCTTGGGGAGTGGGGACCACAGGTCAGGCTTCAGGAACACCCCCGTGATGCGGTGTGCTTTTTGCTGGAATGTACCCCCTCCCTGGGCTACAGCCCCCGGTTCTCCCACATCACATAAACAGGCTGTGCTTTTGGTCCCTGAGTCCGTCTCATGCCCCTGTCAGCGGCATGGCAATTCGCCTACCAGCAAGAGGCCTTTGCAGGTACAGAAGGAGCCCGGGTGACGGTGACAAGGGCCTGGCCAACTGTCATTTTGTGAGTCGGAGAGGAAGCATCCTAAGACACAGCCCCTGGCCAAAGGAATCCGGTCTCTGCGAACGGAATCTCCCAGAATCGAAGTCTGCATTCCTGCCGGGGTCTGTGCCTTGCCTCCCCGGTGTTCTGGAGCCCAGCAAAGCCGGACTAGAAATCAACCCACTTCAGAGCCCAAGGGATTCACTTCTCACTACACCAGCAGGTCAGAGCCATCACCGGTACCACCAGCAACCCAACACCGTGGCCCCTAAGAACCAGGCTTCAGTTCCATGGTGCTCCCTAGGGACACGGGCAATTCAACGGCAGAGGCACGGCCACCACACAGAACAGACTCGTCAGGCAGGCCGCCCCAGTGACGTTTGCCTCAGATGAAAACCAGTCACCAGACACCAGCCAGAGTCAATATTCGTTGGCCAAGGCTCTGGCCTCCAAGAATCAGCTGAAATTCACGGCACTAATTTGCAAACCCCAATCGATAAGGAAGAGCAACGGGTTTCCTATCCCAACCCCTGCCAGATGCAGGATCTATCCAGTCTCCACCGCAGTGTATGGTCTGGGCGAGGCTGCTCTTTGCTGATCCGAACAGTCTCCCGAGATCTCGGGACACTGGCCGCTGCCGTGGCCGGGCTACTCTTGGCTAGCGGTGGTGGTCATCGTGCGGCGTCTCAAGAAGAGAAGGGACGTCTGCTCCTGCCTTGCCGAGGCCTCTCGTCACAGGCAGTGGTACAAGCCGTGTAACGGTCCCTGGAGTCATAACCTTCCGAGACGCCCACCTTGCCTGCCACACAGGCACCGTCACCTGCTGGCTCCGCGCAGTGAATGACTGGACCCTGGCAGCTGACACCCAACCGTTAGCTGGAAGGACGGACTCTGCGGAGACCCAGCTCACGGAAAGGTGCACCTCCAACTACATCCGGACTTCATTTCTCTCTCCCCTCTGCCTGACGAGTAGCATGATTCCCCTCTCACTCGTAGTATGTTATTTCTTCACTGGGTGATTAGGAGACATTATCCTGTATGCTACTGGCTTATGAAATATTATTATTACGAATTATAATTCCCACAGGGAACCTGATTAAATAAGTG